ATATATATATATATATATATATATATATATATATATATATATATATATATATATATATATATATACATGAGTTCTTGTCTGCTGCTGCAGTTGTTGTGTTTGCTGCTGCATGCGTTTGGGTTTGCTGCTGCAGTCGCGGGCTGATGCTGCCTTTCTGCAGCAGCATGGAGCTGAGCTGCAGCAAGCCTATAGCGGCCTCAAGAGATACCTAGCCTTGGGTAATATATATACACACCAGCAGCAGCAGCAGCAGCAGCAGCAGCAGCAGCAGTAGCAGTAGCAGTAGCAGTTGCTGCTGCTGCAGTAGATGAGGGCAGCGTTAGCGTGGGGTCGCAGCAGCAGCAGCAGCAGCAGCGATGCAGCCGCAGCAGCAGCACCAGCAACAGCACCAACAGCAGCAGCAGCAGGAGAAATCATCGCTGCTGCATGCATGCATGCATGCATGCAGCAGCAGCAGCAGCAGCAACAGCAACAACAGCAGCAGCAGCAGCAGAAACCCTTGCTGCTGCATGCATGCATGCATGCATGCACTGTGTATGTGTTCAGGTTGTGGGGCTGAAGCAGCACGAACACTGCATGCAAGTTGGGGCTGCTACTTTCGTGTGTTCTCTGCTTTGCTGCTGCAGCAGCGGATAGAGAGCCGCACGGGGTGTATATACAGCAGCGCCCCGCAGCTGCAGCAGCTCAGGCTGCAGCAGCTACACGTACCGGGTATGCTGCTGCAACACATCCTGCTGCTGCTGCTGCTGCTGCAAAAGCAGCAGCAGCAGCAGCAGCAACAGCAGCAGCAGCAGTGCCACCAGCAGCAGCAGTATAAATCCGCTACAGAGTGTTTGACGAGTTGCTGTTCCCGTTCCTGCTGCTGCTGCTGCTGTTGCTGCTGCTGCTGCTGCTGCTGCTGCTGCAGGAGCAGCAGGAGTTCGTATTCTTCGTTTGCTGCCTTGCGTGCTGCTGCTGACGACAAAGGAGAGGCCCCGCGTTGTTGCTGCTGAGGCTGCTGATGGTTGCTGCTACCGCTTTCTATTGAAAGCACATACAGACCTTAGAATGCAACAAAGATTGATGCTGGTC